ATACAATGTAGATTTACCATATCTGCTACACTGTGAAATGTATCTAAAAACTCATCATCTGTTTTCATTATTTTCTACTTAGATTGTAGGTCTCAAGACAAACATGGAGTTTTTGCAAAATGTTGCGTCGCATTCTGAATTTCATGCCGGTAATGTACACACAGGGTTCATTGATCAACATTATTCAGATTTATTACCTGAAGTTCAAGAATTGTCTTCCAAAGTACTTTGCCAGGCTGCCCTTGTAATGGTCTTGGTTGAAAATTCAAGAAGATGCACAATTCCAAATTCTACTGGTAGGTTTCAGGAAGATTACTGACAAGTGGTTTAATAATTAAAGTTAATAGATACTTCTTAACGTGGATAAGTCTCATGACAAATAAATCTTGGCTCATACATAGAAAACTTCTGTTTGTGAAATGTCTTCTCTGTTTGTATATAAATCTGTTCCCAAAGCCACGTGTCTGATTTCAATTAATTTTGCATATGGATGAAGTATATTGTTAATTACCTATTTACATTTGTTTTTGGCATCTGTTCAATTCACTACGTTCAATTACCCACCATAGACTCCGGACTGTAGGCATTAATCAGCGATTCTGCCAATGACGGAGTGATAGAATCTAGGTCAGGGGAAGCCCCATGACCCCAAGATTCTTTTCCCTTACGTCACGAACCACGTGACCGAGACCATATGGCGGTGCCATTACGGCTGGGTATTCACTCTTCTTTTTCTCCGCATCGACGGGGATGAAGTTTAGCGGCTCTGCCTGGATCACCTGCTTTTTCCTGTCCACATTTCTAGTTCAGGTTTTTGCTGCTGCCTCCGAATCCGACATTGTAGCTGGTAGGATAAGTTTTCCCCTTTGTGTGTATCATTTTTCACAACAAAGAAATAAAACCTTGCGTCGTAGCTTAATCACTTGTTGATTTCGTTGCGTCACCTTTTCCAACTGTAATTCGCTTCCCTCATGCATGTCGTCTTCATTTTATGCTTGATCAATGTATTTAGAAATGGATAGATGTAATGACAGCACCAGAGGCTCACTGCCGTTTTTTGTCTTCTTGTTTTTCGAGACGACTGTGCAGTGGTTATATTCAGAATTTACCAGCATAAAACGTGCATCCGAAATGCTTTTTGCCGTGGCTGCGCGCGGGGTTTTTCACTGGAGTTCTGAGGCCTGAGATATTTTTTCAGAGACATCCAAATCGCTGAGACTGACTGCGTCGCTCGTTTCTTCACAGCAAGGTCGCGCGTACATTAAACAAATCGGGAAGAGTAGCAGTGCGCCCCAGGGAGGAAGGGACCAGGTGGTGGCTCCGGCAGCGGGGGAAGCATGTTTGACGCTTACCTCTCCGACCGGGGGGGCGAAATGTGTTCAGCGAGTGGCCAGGTCACAACTTAGTGACTACCGCAGTCCTTGGGGAAACTCACCTCATGAGAGAAGAGAGCACCCACACCTCGCAACTGCTGAACCCATGGCCACATATCCCTGTCGTACACAGATTGCACCGGTGTAGTCAGTTTGGAGGCAGCAGGTTACCGATCTTTGGACTTTTCCAGGTGGTGACATTCTGTTAGGGATACCGCTGAAAACTCAATCTCCCCCATCAATGTTTTCAATGTTGTAACAGTCTGGCAGATGCCTTTTCAGGGCGGCTCTGTCTCCAGAACACAGAGTGGCTGATACCCCAGTGAGTAGCCTCCAGGCTGTTTCGGCTGTGGGACGGTCCAAAGATAGACCGGTTTGCCGCACCCCAGAACGCCAAGCTCCCGACTTACATAACACTCCAGGAGCCTGGGCCAGGGTCGCTTTGCTAACCCCGTGGACCCATTTAGTTGTGTACGCCTTTCCTCTCTTCCTGCTAGTTCACCAGACACCGGAGAAAACTTTGACAGGTGGAACCCTGCATATTGTCATTGGGCGCACCCAATTGGCCAACCAAGGCCTAGTTTGCACTGCTGTTGGAAATGCTAGTCGAAACATCAGTAGTGCTTCTGGACTTACCGGACATGCTGTCCAAACCAGACTGCGCACTACCAACAAGCCCAGCGGGTATCTCTTCCATGCATAGAGGCTATCAGTAGACCTGCACATATGAAAGATTTATCTGAGCGGGCTGCCAAGGTCCTGGCCAGGGTGAACAGGGATTCCACCAACGCGGCCTACATTTCTAGGTTGTGAGCATACACTGATTGGTGTAGCAGAAGAGAGATTGATCCATACCATCCCTTTATTGGCCAAGTAGCTGACTCTTTCGTCCATCTGTTTGATGAAGTGGGTTTGTTCTATGCAACAGTTGTTGGCTACAGGTCGGCCTTGTCCCCCACCATTGAGAATGTTTTGGGAACAAAACTAGCTGATTGTCCTACCATTAGGAAACTATTTACTGCTTTCCAGAGGCTGAGACCTCGTACAAGGGAACCACCCAACTGTGATTTGTCAGTTGTATTGTCCGCTCTAAGCAGACCGCCCTTTGAGCCTCTCCGATTAGCACCACTCAAATTTTTGACGGTTCTAGCACAGATTTGCTACCAAAACCATACTAAGGATTCAGGACAGGGTGCCAGGCACATTTCTTTGTGTTATGGCCCAGGCAGGCAGGATAGGCCGGCCTCCCCAACTCCCATAACCAGGTGGTTTACTGCGACTGTATTAGAGGTCTATAATACTTTAACTTCCTCGACACAGAGCTTGCAGATACACCAAGTATGAGCGCATGAGGTCTGTGCAATTGCTAGTGTCAGGCGCCCCCCTCAAGCACACACTGAGGGCAGGCTTCTGGAGAACGCAGAACGTCTTTATCAACTATTACCTAAGAGACACCCAATCTATTGAGCAGGGTCTCTTTAGGTTGGGTCTCATCGTAGTGGGTCAGACTTGGATTGCTGACCCAGCCCGAACGACCACAAGAGTCCCTGCACATAGGCGATAAGTCAGTCTCTGCATAAGTCTGACTCTACCTACAGTTCAAAATAGTCATTTTGACTGACCGGAGTCTATGGTGGGTAATTGAACGTAGTGAATTTAGGCAGAGGGTTGTCCGAACCTGCCTATTCACATAGTTCATACCCAACAGACTCCGGGTCCCCCCAACCACCCCACTCTTTCCGTAGCATTGGTCTAAGTCCTTGATGCGAAGAGAAAGAAACCAGAGTGAAAACCCAGCCGTAATGGCGCCACCATATGGTCTCGGTCACGTCGTTCGTGACGTAAGGGAAACAAATCTTGGAGTCATAGAGCTTCCCCTGACCTAGATTCTATCTCTCCGTCATTGGCAGAATCGCTGATTAATGCCTACAGTTCAAAAAAGTCATTTTGACTGACCGGAGTCTATGGTGGATATGAACTGTGTGAATAGGCCGGTTTGGAGAACCCTCTGTCTAAATTTTATTCTTGTTCTTGCTGACAAGTTGTATTTCACTTTAATTTGACCCATTGAGAGATATACCATGGAAACGGTCATAATAATTCCTAATGTTTTTCTTACAGATCAATATTCGCCTTTTGCTACTGGTAGTGGAAGAAGGTTGAATGAAACTTACAGTAGAGAAGTAAGATTACTGGATGGTAGTAACAATGTTAATGTGACAATCACTTATAATAGTGGTAATGCTTTCACTATTAAGGTAAACACAGTAACAAAAATAATATTAAAGCTGCAAGCAGCGTCACAAAAGCCCAAGCTATCAGACAAAATCCGTCATTAAAGTGGTCACTGAATTGCCATTAAGGTACTTTGAATGATTTGTACAATGAGGTTGACGGGTTCCTTCTATTTACTTGGTTTGGTTATCGAGATATAGTTTTTAGAATATATAAGGAGCCATGAGGTTACAATGTCATATATGGTATTCTTTTATATTAGTCTTTTGTTTGATTACTTCATTATGGCACTGGTTGCATGTCTCGTTCTGCAACAGTGTTTCAGATATGACAGTTATGCATATTAATGAGTTCACATGACCATATATGGTCATCTGTTATTTTAGTGTGAGCTCTTAATAATGTAGGTTTCATCTTCCTAATTGCATCAGTGTTTGAGATATAAAGGTTATGCATATTAATGAGGAGAGAAACCCCCACCCCACGGGCGTCCAGTCACATGACCTAGCCATGTGCCGTTCAGGTGCAATAATGTATCTCAGGAGCAATCTGATTAAAATCTGATGTAGTGTACGGGCTTTAATTATTTTGGCTATAAACTTATTTTAAAATCATTTTTTATTATATTTGTTATTAATGCCTTTTTATTTTATTATTTTACTTTGATTTTGATTTTGTGATTTTTTTTAATTCCGCCCTACCTACATCTGATCCGACGCCTATGTAAGTCCTGTTCAAATCTCGCGTAAGTAACAGCCAATCATAGCCCCCCTTTTATACAAGTTGTTTCAGGTTACTTTTCAGTGTATACGGGCAATCTTTCTGCACATTATATTTTGCCCACTTGAATAAACCATTAATAAAAAATTGCTAGTATATTTTTATTTACAAAAAAAATTCCACAGCATTTTACATTTTTTGTCATTACATTGAATATTTTTTTCACTTCCAACAAATGTGTACACTTCCAGATACATCTTCGCCAGCCAAGGTTCGTTCATTCAGTCGTCGCTCCAATTTTACATCAAACACTGAGCATAATTATCTAGAATAGAAGCAAAAAATAAGTAAATCGTATGATTAGAACACTGTAAACAGCTATAGTAAACAATGCAAACTGATTTTAAATTGTGTAACGGTCACCGGCCCACGGCATCGACGCAAAAAATTGGAGCAAACAAATATTCCGTGATCAATTGCGATGTGTTCCAAATAAAAAATATTTTATTCCAGTCCAAATCAGCTCAATTACTTTAATAAAGAGTTATTGTATACCGGTAATGTACAAAATGTTGATACAATTTGATGAATATTTACAGCTACGGCTTCAATACCATAGACGATTTTGGCCCGATTGTCAACAAAACATCACCCGTCTCCAGGGCAAGCGACTGGAAAAATAACCAGTTGAAACAAAATCGTCACTCCCAGAATAACTATGCAAAATAACGATCTAAACTCGAACCATTCGAGACACAATATTAACATAAAAATGACTTTCGTTGCATTTGACAATGATAAACTTACCGAAAAGCCGTGTTATTCTCGGTCGCTGACGCCGGTGTAATCCGCCATTTTATTTGACCTGATATAGAAGGAGGTCTGTGATTCGTTGACTAAAATCGTCGATAGTGGGTCTCGTTGAAATCTCGTTACATAGGCATCGGGTCAGATGTATGTAGGGCGGAATTAAAAAAAACACGAAATCAAAGTCAAAGTAAAATAATAATAAAATAAAAAGGCATTAATAACAAAAGTAATAAAAAATAAAATTAAAATAAGTTTATAACCAAAATAATTAAAGCCCGTACACTACATCAGATTTTCATCAGATTGTCTCAGGAGTAGCAAGCACATACAAATTTTCAATACATGTAATTGCCCATTTCCTGTTTTCACAAAATCCAAGATGGTGGCCAAACCACGTGAACATTCAAAATTTCATTATTTTTTTCATATGAAGCTATTACCACCCATGTCATGTACATATTTATTTAGTTGATCTGTGGATGCACCTTTGAGAAACAAATGCTCAAACTTTTGGTCAATTTTGCCCATAATCCAAGATGGCGGCCAAACCATGTGACTAATCTGAAATCTTTTTCAGGTTTCTCAAAGAGTTTGATATAGAGATGCCATACAGCAATATTGAACGTAATCCCTCAGGTGTGGCATGAGTAAAAAAACTACTTCCTGTTTAGAAGAAACCCAAAATGGCGGCCAAACCATGTGACCAATCATAACAATTTTTTCATTCATAAATGTGCTTCATATATAGAAGCTAAGTACTAAATATGAGAGCATTTTACTTGGCGGTTCTGAAGAAGAAGATTTTTAAGTGTTTTTTGCTGTTTTTAGGAAAAACAAAATGACGGGAAAAGTCACGTGACCGCTAAAGTTTTTATTGCTGATATCTATTACACATGAGTTGTACTATATACAAATCTAGACGCCTAGACCCTCAGAAAGTGGTCAAACTGCCACTTCCGGTTTTATTTCAATCCAATATGGCTGCCAAACCAATTGACCAATCAAAATTCTGAAAGCATGTTGCACCAGTTCACATTAGGAACTATCAGTATAGAGCACTATCAGACCATTCCGTTCAGTGGTTTTCTCAAACAGCTTAACGAAAAAAGTTACAGAAGAAAGAAAGAAAGAAGAAAGAAAAAAACGAACGATAAGAATAAGGGCTTCGGCCCCTAATAAATATTAAGCACTAAATTGCATGTGAAACTTCAGCGAAAATTGCCAAAATAAATTCCAAGTGGAAATAAAGTAGTAGAAGACTTCATGAATACATAAATGCCATGGTTTATCTGTCATATTTTATTTGAGCAGTATCAATACAACAAGTGCTTACACATGTGTTGTAATAAGAGTAAATACCATAATTAATATTATCAGCATAACTAAAGTACAAGGAAGAAGCCTGCTTATAATTCTTGAGAAAGTCAGCCATAAATCACATGACATCGTCCATCGGTTTGTTATGTACAATCACAGAGCTTTAGTTCAATGGTAACATTAAACAGCATTCTTTTATGTGTTTCAGCATTATTTTGAAAAATTTCATAAAACAATTCTATAAAACACAGTGTTATATTTGGTAACAAAGTTATTACACAACAATCCTTCTGATTTACTCTCAGCCTTGGCATTTCATGTTTGCTTGTCAACTCGTCAAAACACCAAGATATAATATACTAGGGGATTTTGTGTGATAATCCTATAACACTATGTGATGTTTGACCTTATTCCTAACAATGAACACAATGTTTCTTTTCAGATACGAGATGAAACATTTTGTGCTGAAGGAAATATTGAGTATGATAATAAAGCCTATAAGTTAAATAGCATTATTGATGGTGTTAAGTGCCTTGGATCCGCTGTATTTCATGAAAATACACTACACTATTATACATTTGTAAGTCTCTGTTTTTCCTAAGATACATTGTTATAAATATTTTTATGCTTAAAAAGTGTGAATATTGTTGACATTTTCAGTCTTCAATCAGATGCAGTCTGAAAATGGACCAATTCTATTAATTTTTTGCATGTGCCTGGTATTTTATTTGGGATAAAAGTAATTTGATCAAAGATGGCAGACTGGTAGTCATTTTTTTTTTGGGGGGGGGGGATGTGGTGTCTTGGAGATGCTTTGTCATGTCCATGACAATTTGTTTTATAATCAGATCAAAGGTGGTCAACTGGCTTTTTGGTCATATCTTAGACACATTTGGACCATTTTAATTTTTATTTGGCACTTAACAAATACATGTTGGAATACATGTCCATGATGATTTGTTTGGTGATCGGATTTGAAATGGCCGCAGCCAGCCATTTTGTTTTTGGCCATACTATGATACCCATGTACAGTCTCATATTTTTGTCACATACATCATAGTACACAACTGTGTTTATTTGTAGAAACATTTTTCAAATGTTGTATTAAATGTTGATAAATAATACAAAAAAAAATTAATAATGTAAAAAAAATTGAGAATAACATGAGTGAGTCTTGTTGCAAATGAATTCATGAAAGGCCAGATTTACTCTTGATATGCATGTTGGGTTGTACAACAGATTATGA